CTTCACACTCAGTAATGCGTCCTGCAAAAAGCAGAATTCATGTCTTTAAAATGAACCAGTAAAATGTGCATTACTTTTGGTACAAATAGCATTAATTATGCATGCTTTAATAGCACTAGTATGCAAGTAAGGTCGAGAAAAGTAAATGCCAGTAAATCATCAAGTAAAAGCAATGCCCTACAAGGTAAGCTTAAAATAGCACTGCAAACAGTGAGGCCCCTTTTTTTGGAAAACTAAAAAATTAGGGCATTGCTTTTACTATTAGCTGGCTTGTTGCGCTTACATATGAGGGCACAAGCTGAATTCTCGTATTTTGCTCTTATAAAAGCTAGCAGCAGCGGAGAAAGAGATGAGATGTTGGACGCTGGAGCACCACTCTGCTCCTACACAGAAACAAAACGCCAAAGCGTGAAACAAATTGCGCGCATGATAAAGAAAAATTGTGTCCAGAGAAGGAAGTAAACCTGCTATGCGTAACATGTTGTTCACTTCGTCGGCAACCGACAACTGTCACGTACCGGTGAATGTTACCCATGAAACAGGAGAAACCGAATCGACAAGATTCCGAGAGGACAGGCATGCTGATGGTAAGGCAGGCGGGGAAAATGCGACGAGAGGGGGACCTGCATGCCGCATTGAGCTGCATCACACTCACCGCAGAGTAGCGTATCGATAACCCGGACAGTCCCAGTGATGATTTTCCAACAAGTTTGACAGCGACGAACTGCTTGCACGAGTGCCCCTATCAGCAATTGATGCAATTAAATAAGATGACAGACTCCGAAACGCCGACATTCCAGAAAGTAAAAAATGTCCAGTAAGTGAATGGGGGAGGGTGAGGAAGGGAAGGAGGGAAGCGGTGAAGGAAGGAGAGCAGGGAAGGGGAGCAACGAAGCCGGGATTCTGCAGGACTTCTCCAGACGGCAATGCCGACAGACATCTCCTTCTCGCTCCTGTGCCCAACAACTCCACACGATGAATGAACCAGTTTGGTCATTTTTTCCCCCGTGGAACAAACATGACAATACCAGTCGGACAGGCTTACTTGCTCTGCGCTTCCAGTAGCAGCTTCTCCGGCATCCGGCACTTGAAGAGGGTTTGTTGCTGATGTTATATAGGTGCAATCGCGCCGCCTTGACTGGCCATGTTCAGCCAGCGAATTGTAGTGCTTCTCGCGAAGATGTAAGCGGAGTAAAGCAAACAACGGCAAGCTTAATAAACCCTAAAACTGGAGCATTTTGTAAAAAATGAGAGCACGGAGGGCAGTGCAACACTGCCAAACAAAGAGACACTTCTCTGGTGGTCATTTTATTATATTGTACATGCCGGCCGCAAATAAACCCACCTTTTTAGCATCCGATTACTAAAAAAAAAAATTAGCAAATGTTTGAAAAAAAAAACCCCGAAAGGCAATCCGAATACACTGCAATTCAAAAACAAAAAAGGCCCCCAGCAAGAGATCCCAGAAATTGCAACAAAACTTATAAATTCGACTCAAAAAAAAGTAGGTTCTACAGTAGATGTAAAATCAAATGACGAATTGGAATAAATTACTAAACGAGAGGCACCGCTCAGAAAGGAGCGGAAGGAGACAGTTGCACAGAACTACGGAACAGTGAAAACGTTCTGCAGTAAAGCTGAGTGGGAAAACGCACCGTCTCTCAGCACAATGCGCAAAACCGATGATCCGAACGAAAACATGCATACAAAAGGGTACCTGCAGCATCTATAATCGGCTCACAGACGGACGGCCGCCAGTGCTCCTCTCTGACTCTTAAACAACACTGCTTACTCCTTTCACGAAACCTCTGGTTCAATTATGGCTCTATTCCGCCTCAGTACCCTTCACAGAAATCCGTGAAAACATTCATTGCTCTCACCTACACGTTCCTGTCACGAGAACAACATTTTTTGCTCAATTTCGGTGGATATTTGCAACTAGCACTTCAAAGAAACAAAGACCTCCTAATTCCTCAAAGCCAAGTCATTATTGTACGTTTTTTGCAGCTATGCAATGCAAAAACGCATACTGACGAGGGGTTATCTGTGTGTCCGTGTGTGCGTCTGTACCAATTTTTCATCTCAAGACCTATAAAAGCTGCAGGGTTGAAACTTTAGTA